CAAGAAAGTATCGGGCTAACGATAAGTAATAAGTAGCCATAACCTCCATCCAACAAGATCAAGAGGTTTTTTTGGGAATATTTCGAGTATCCCAATCCGTTGCTAGCTGTCGTGTAGGCAAAAATTTGGTGTGTTATGACAGCGTCAAGTTGCACGCGTAAATTTTTTGAGTTGTTTTAATCTTTGGGAGAGGGGATAGGTTTGGTGGTTCGGGCAGCGGGAGTGTAAGTGAAAAATTTTAATTTTGAACTCTTCCACTTATACTAAAAAAAAAAATGTATGAATCTTTGGTTGAATCGGCTAAACCAATCAAGTTTGGTAAAATCCTTTCTATTGATAATTGTGTGCAATTTTTAATGTGTCACTGATTGATCTTTCATTTTGTGAAAGATGTTTGAAAATTTTGATGGTTATCACAAAGCATTTTGATAGATAAATTTTGAATCTCTATCATGATTTTATATAATAATTTGTCAATGATTTTTTAATTTCATTTGCACACACAATGAGTTTCATTGGGTTTAACTCATCAAGATTTGAAAAAAAAAATGTTTCCTCAACTAGAGGAACTATCAAGGGGATTATGTGATGGATTGATCGGCATCAAAAGCTTGAGACTGGATACACGTGAATTTTTGATTGGATGGTTAAGTTGAGGTTATCCTCTGATGATTTTGTATAACTTTTATTGTATTACTAAGAAATTGATTTCAATATGGATTTTATGATTTTTGAAATGTGTAAATTTTATGGTTTTGATTTTCTGAGCTTGGATTAGAACATAGTAAGCGACTAATCCATCTATTTTTAATCGACTCAGGTTGGGCCGTTACCAAAAAAAAAAAACCTTTTGCTACTCGAGGTTCGGAAAATTGAGCAATTCTGTTGCCACTTCTTTGCGGTTTCAGGTTCCTTAATGAAAGCCATTGAAATCTCAAATAAGGTTTAATTTGCCTACCTTGATTGATTCAATTGATTTAGGAAGATGGGCTTGGATTGGTTCGACCTTTCTTGAAGGGTTTGATTTAATTTGCTAGACAAATGGAATTGGGTCATCTTGATTTGCGTGGGCTTTAAATAATTTATTGATAGAAAACCTAATAAATTTTATTAAAGCTAATGTTATTGGCACTCTATTTTTTTGCTAATATCAATTTACTTTGTTAATGTTTCTTTGTGACAATTACAAAGAAGATGGAATGCAAATATCATCACTCTTTATTTAATTGCAAACAAGATGCATCACTCGTTTATTAATTTCAGAAGAATGTTTAGCAAATAAATGAGCAACGTTGTTCAATCTTCTAGCTTGTGAAGTTTTGCAAGAGATTAAGAACATTATCCACCAAAACGCCACAATCTGAGCCATCATATTCATGGTGCTGAGAGATGCTGAAAATCTTTCGTGCATGGCCTTCAACATTGACTTTCTGCAAACTCAACCGGATCAGCAATTATGCAGCAAATTTCGCGGCATAAGATTCCACCACATCCGGCACCAAAATCCCTGTGTCACGGGCTGATTAAATTCCTATATACAGACACGCCGTACAGCACTAGCAATCGTTCAAAACTTGAACTATGAACGGTTGGCTAGTGCTGCACGGCGTGTTTGTGTATACGAATTTAAGCAGCCCGTGACACCTGGAAGTGTTCAAGCTGCTCGATGGATCCAAATTTGCTAGATGGATGCCTTGGAATTTAAGTATTCTTATACTATATAAGATTGAATTGTGGTCAAAAGGGGGGTTTGAATTTCAACCGTATGAAAAGGGGTTTTTTGGAAATATGAAATGTTGTGTAGTTTTTTAAAAATTTTTGGTACAACTGAGGGTATCATGTGTTTATGTATATTTATCGAAATGCCCTCATTTTGAAACATTTAAAATTGTGATTTATGGAAACATCTGGATATTTCTGGAATATGGAATTATTTTGCAACCATTTTTGCATCGAGTACAATTCATATAAGTTTATGTGTTGGTATAATTATTGAAATGATGTTATAGACACATTTCATTGAAGTGTAGCTTTTGTTGTGCAATTAACACAAAAACATATTAACATGTTGTGTAATTAACATGTTGCTATAACTAACCGTTGGAGGAAATTCTTTTGTCTGAAACAACTTATGTCTACATTTGGATGATTTTCAACTGGCATCTGTAGTGGTCTTTTGGGAATGGTGAAATTGTAAAAGTATTGATAAAGTAAAATGTACATATGTGTGCTACAATTAGAATATACTATTATTAATTTTGTCATATTTGATGACTATTTCTTTTCAAAATATACTATTTTTTGTTCAATAAAAAATTTTCTTTAATCACAGACACCAAACACTCGCGCGATGCGCGAGCATATCCCCTAGTCTGATTCATCAAAATGACTTCTAATGTTAACGAATCAAACAAAGGATTTTTTTGTCTTGTCTACGGATCAATTTGGAGATCTGTAGCCTCAGTAGTTCATTTGTTGTCTAATTTAAACCGTTATGTAATTATCATAACATATCGCGTAAACTTGAGTTTATCTAATCATACAACTTTGTTAGTACAAAAATCAAAATTACACCAAAATTATACAAATTTATGCTAAAAGTAGTAAAAATTAGGTCAACTAGTTTAAATTGTACAACAACTCAACTTGTGAGGTCTCGTTTCTTCAGTTTGGTAGCACAACATTTTCGTATTAACAAATGAAGTTATTCGTGTATAGTATTTCTAATTTACCAATCTAGTTGAAGACAAATGAAATATTTTTCATTTGCTTTTGTTGAACGTTTATGACAAGGAAAAATATATAGTTTTGGTCCCTATGTTTGAGAATCGTTCTAACTAACGCGGATTCCAAAGTTTCAATGAGAACAAAGTGATGAATATTCCAAAAGCCGGCCAAAGTGGTACTCTATTCCAGTATGACCGTCCCTAAACAGTTAATGGCCATGATTTGGCCTCAAAAATTTGTGCTGCTGAAATCACAAGTTGTAACTCGATTTTCACGTTATGTTGGGATCCACAAAAATTTGCTTTAAAGTTACGTGATGTGCAAAAAAAGTTACGCGCAGTTAAAAATGACCAAAACCGTCCGGGACGGTTGCAGTCCTCTGTTCCTCAGTTGTTCGATTTGGACCGAAAACCCACAACTGTTGCAATTTGTCTGATTGCCAACTGTAAGTGTCATTTGGATGTTCGCTTGAACAATAAAATATAAGTACCCGAGAAAATGTGCACAAACAACTTTACCTTTCTAACAAAAATCCAATCTTTGTAATAAATCCACAAATTGCAATTGTTATAAATAATAGCAACAATGTGGTAAAGTAGACAAATCATGAATTAGCAGGTGGTTTCAAGGGTAGCATATTTTTTTAATTTTCCATTTTGACTAAGTCACATAACTCTTACGGGTAGTTATTGTCTAACATTCATCAATAAATGCTCTTTTCATCAAAATTGAAACTATTAAGAGTAAAATTATGCCAATTTTTATTTGTTGATCGAAATTTAGAAACATTAAAAACTAGATTTGATTTCAATAAAATTTCAAGAATCACTTAAAATTCTGGGAATCAAAACTCGTAACTCTGCTCTTTTCGAGAGAAAAATCGAATTAGTCCATTCTAAAATAATTTGGCAACTTCCTAAGAAATGTATAGACTCCTAACTCGGAAGACTAAAAGAAAAACAGAACAAGAAAAGTCAATATATCCTCTTAATTCAACAAGCAACAAAATTTGAACAAACAGCATTGAAATTAACAAAATAGAATTCTTCTACATGTACGAAAATGAAAATTGACAAAATCGAAAATCACATGGAGGAGGACTTAAGGCAGCGGAGTGATGGCAACGGCCAAAGACTTTGAACTCTACTCCCCATTTGTCTCTTTCGCCTACGTAAATATTCCACGCGTTACAATTTATATAACTAATTACAAGATGGATATTCCAACCTCAACCTCTCTTTCCCAAACTACCCTCCATTTTATTTCAATTCACAACTCCAAGTTTCCATTTTATCTATAGGCTATCTTTTGTTGATTATATTTTTCTTTGTAAGCAGCTGTGTATGTTATAATGCAACAATACTCATTTTTTTTGGCTTTTTTATGAAAGTAAATTATTCTATAAATTAAAAATTTCCTTACAAAAGGTTATAAGTATGTCAAGTCAAACCCTACAAATAAATCAAGTTGACTAATAAGACTACCAATTGAAAGCCACAGCTAATTTTTTTTAAAAATTTTTGACAAGATACAAAATTTTTATGAACATGACATATAATATCACATTTATGATTTGAACATACTAAAAAAAGTTCTTTTATATAAACTCTATAAACAACAAAAGATATGTTACTCTAAGCAGTTTATAATATACATCGATCTATAATATACCTCATAATTTGTTTTTCAAAAAATAAAAAACTATTTCATTCAAAAATCTATCTGAATAATTTGCTGTGTCGAAAGTTTATGATAATATAAAACGAAATGTTTTAATACAAGAGCAATCTATGGCATACATACATCATAATTTGTTTTTCAAAAATGAAAATATTTCAGAACAATCTGTCATATCAAAATCTTGTGATAATAATCATGCTAAACAAAATGATCTAATATATAATATAGGCTTCGTTTGGCAAGTGAGTTTTTTAAATGTTTGTCTAAAATTTTACTGTAACTTACTGTATAAGTTTTTTTAAAAATTTTTAAGTGTTTTTTTTTTAATATTTTAAAGTGTATAATTTAACAACTTTGAGAAATTTTTTGAGGATATTATAGTTAACGTTTTTTAAAAATTTGTAGCAAATAAACTTTGGCAAAAAACTTATCTACCAAACAAGGCCATAGTTGTTATAAGATAAAAATAGAACTATTTTAGGCAGTTAGCCAGCCCATTTCTGTCATTTTACCCAACAAAATTTAATACCTTTCCACGTCTAACTTTTCCACAACTCCCCCATGTCCCATTCAACCACACACACACACACACTCACGCACACTCTCTCTCTCTCTGGCTCGCTACAAATACAATATTATAGTATGACAAATTTGACAGAATTCTTCAGATTGATGGGTTTAGGAAGAATTCAACCTCCCTCTTCTAGAACCCATTTAATGAAATTCTGCGTTATATATCATAATTGATAGCCGATCATCTTGGCTTTTCATTTCCACGTTCAATAAATCTTCTTCTTCTTCGTCTTCTTCTTCTTCTTTCTTTGAATTATTGAGAAATTTGTGTAATATGGGGAATTTGGAGACGGCGGTTATGGAGTTTCTGATTCCGTCATGGTGGGAGGTGCAAGTCACGGTGGCGGCCGCGGCGTTTGTGGTGTTGGCTTATTGGTTTCTCTCTCTGGGTGGCGGCGCCGGTGTTGGAGGAGAAGGAAACGCGGATGATCGCATGATGGTTGGCGGCGATGAAATTGATGAGAAAGATAAGGGCGTTTCTGTAATTTCAGCCTCCCTCTGTCTTACATCATTTCACTAGTTTGTTATTTAGTTAGTTATTTCTTGCTACTGAAAAAATTTCTACCCTTTCATATCATTATTCTCAATTTTGCTGCCTTTTTAATTTTTATTCGGAAATGCGATTTCAATTGCTTTTTTTTTTTTTTTAATGGTGGTTGTGAATAGTTATATGCTAGCTTAATTACTGATAATTGTGCTTAATATTTTTATCTTTTACGCAAGATTGTTGAAATCAAGTCTGTTGAGAAAAAAAGTTCCAATTTTGTAGATTTTCAAAGTTTCCATTTTTTATGCATTTTATTGTTTAAAAAGAACGAAAAATTATTCTTGTTATTATCTTTTGTAAACTCCTTATGTGAGAATTATAAGCTTTTAATCAAATGAGTGTAATCTGCGTAATTTGACTGCGTTCTTTTGGTGTAAATATTTTGCATTGCTTCATAAACCTGTTTCATTGTTAGTTAGTTGCGTAGAAAAAAGTTTATTAACAGTCTTATGCAAAATTAGAAAGCTTGATTAGCTATTGACACTGATGTAACAACAATATTTTTCTTTGTACTGAAAATGATGTAGCTGCAGTAGGAAAAGGAACATAATCAACGACGGCAATTAATGATTCTTGGCTTGGTTGTCACACTTTTGAGTTTATGTTTTATTAAGAAAGTTTATTGGCCAAATCGTAGTAAAAATTGTGTTATTATTCTCTTTTTAAGGAATTTCTTAGATGGCTATATTTATTTGGATGATTTATTTGATCCAGTTACTGTAGTACTTTTTGTGATGTGATGTATGTGAGATAAAAAGGTGATTGGGAATTGTGTGTATGATGCAAGCAAAACAAAATCTGAAATAAATCTTGCAAATTTTCTTTGTCCAAACAAACCCTGTGTTTTTATTCTGTTTTTAAGAGATTTTCTTAGATGGCTAAATTTAGATTGCGTTCATTATCTTTTTCTTAATGTGCAATAATGCATCTTAAGAAAATTGTTCATAATGGATAAGATTGAACAGCAATGACCAAGTGCCCTGACTTCTGCAAATCATCATTTTCTTTTATTCCCTTATTCATGTCATTAAGCTAAATTCTGAAATACATTTAGCCTTTGAATTCCTGAGTAACCTTGGATGGCCCCTCTTACTTGTGATGCATGTATATAACGTTTAATCCTCATTCTTGCAACTATATGCATGTGGCGCTTTGGAACTTGTTAAGTTTCTTGACCCCTTCATCGCTCAACTTACCCTCCTTTCACCTATTTGAAAAAGTTGTTGAAATTGTTGTCTAGTTCCTGGATAATATTCCTGTTACATAGTATTAGTTGAAAGATGTTAACATTTAACAGATGAAGTTGAATAGATGGAAAAATTTGTTTGGTATATTCCCAAGCTGAAAGAATATACAGTCATGAACCCTGTTACCCAGGCTACAATCTGAAATAAGATTGTGGCTTGTGATGTATTGATGAAGATAAAGTTTGGTGATTCAATAATGACTTGTAATTTTAAATTTTTTCAAAGGATAAAATACCAAAAAACTCCTTGTGGTTTGCCAAATGTTCAATTTAACTTCCTCTAGTTTGAAAATCTACAATATAGCTCCCTGCAGTCTCAACTAAATTGAAAATTAAACAAAAAGCATTTCACGTATAGCAGGGGCAATATTGATATTTCACGTACAACCATTAGATACAATATAGCTCCCTGTGGTCTCAACTAAATTGAAATTGGACGGAAACATCCAATCTAATGGTTGTACGCGAAATATCAATATTGCCCCTGCTATATGTGAAATGCTTTTTATTTAATTTTCAATTTAGTTGAAACTGCAGGGAGCTATAGTGTAGTTTTCCAAATTAGAGGGAGTTAAATTAAAAATTTATAAACCACAAGGAGTTCATTTATATAGGCGCAATATTGACATTTCACGTACAACCATTAAATTGGATGTTTTCCATCCAATTTTAATTTAGTTGAAACCGCAGGGAGCTATAGTGTAGGTTTCCAAACCTGACTGAGTTAAATTGAACATTTGACAAACCACGGGGAAAATTTTTTGTATTTTACCCTTTTTCAAATTTAATTTCACCTTCGAGGAATTTGTGCTTATTTTCTTTTGACAAATAAAGTATACAATGGATTGAGTGTATGACTAAACACTATCAAACCCTTTTTAGTACGATTTCTTTGCACCGCACTACAATTTCCCAATGGATGCTGTGTTATTGTTTTTGTTTCTTTGGATAGTGGTTTCTTTTAGAGGATAAAATGGTTACATTCTATTTTGATGTGGTTGCCATTTTGTTCATAATTGGTTTCAGGAATAATATTCCAGTTGTTTGACGTGCAGTCGTGCGCTTATTTTGTAGATAAGCCAATATAAAGCAGAGTCTCAAGCTAATGCTGCATACATGATTAAGGTACCTTGAGATATCTTGAAACCTGAATGTCCATTCTGGTTACTATCAAGTTGACATATTTATGGTGCTTTGTTGGTCTTGGTAGTTATCATATTCATTGAAGAGTCAGATGAGGTCTGTTACCTTCAAGTGCATGGAATAGTCAGATTTTACACTTGATTAATAACAGATTTGTTCTCTTTTCTAGGTGGAACTCCTTGCAGCTAAGAATCTTATTGGTGCAAATTTAAATGGCACTTCAGATCCTTATGCAATAATTACCTGTGGCAGAGAAAAACGATTCAGGTGACGAGATCTTATTTGGTTTTTCTAGTATTACTAAACAGGCTTGGTCTATGAGTGTTTTTTTTTTTTTTTTAAATCTTGTTGCGAAAACTGCTAATCACTAGTTGTGTTAAAGGTGAGACTAATTTTAGTCAGCTTGGGGGACATTAAGCAATTTTACCATTGTTGTTGATGAGTAGTTCGCTGGTTATATATTACATCTAGTGTGTCATTTTTTTTATTTTGGTGATGCACATTGCATCACCAAGTACCATTGACTATGGTCCAGGTTTATTTCGAATTAGGTTAGACAAGTTTGGAAGAGCCTTTTAACCTCTCTGTGTATTTGATCCCAATATCATTCGAGATATATGTTTATTTTGCCTTTTCAGTTATCATTCAGATTTTGCCAATGAATCTTAGCCCAAGGATGAAATGAGTGTTTTGATCTACCTAGACAGGTTTAATAGTGTTTCAGGTAAACCTTTTAGAAGCTTTGTTCTGTTAAATGTTGTTTAAAATCAGTTGATTAGCAGACCAACATTTGGAAAATACATTGGAATAGATAGATGCAAATCATGAGAATTTGGGCAGGTATTTCCATTGTTGAAGTTATTGGAAAGTAAAACTAAACAACATTGGACATTGAGATTTTAAAGTGGTTATTGTGCCTTAGCAAAAATGAATAAAGAAAATAAAATTCAACACGAAAACAAATAAAAAGAAACTTATAAAATGGATTAAGAAGAATAACATGAAAGTTAGTTGTAAAAACCGAAATTTAAACTCAAATTAAGGATATGAAAAGTAATAAATTGCAAACTTATGATTTGAAAAATGAAGCTAAGCTTTTAACAATAGATAATAAATCGAACTCAGTTTGTAATGCACAATGTAATTTTTTTTAAAAAATTCCAAAATTAACCTCATTTTGAAATGTTAGAATTTTGTTAAACATTAAAAAATGACTTAATTAAGTATAAATCTGGTAAAGATGATTCATGCAGTACTAGTAAAATCATTACATGTAATCCATGATTTAAGTGGCCATAAATTTTAGTTATCTTGAAACTAGAGATGCAATACTTGATATAACAAACTTTTCCAGTGGTTAAATACTTCAAAGAAAAAAGAATCTTACAATTTCTGAGAGTCAGTAGGGATAGGTTTTTACCCTATCCTATGTAATCTGACCCTTTTGCTGCCAACACGGGATATAACCGGTATTCTATAGGCTTGAACTTTAACCCAAATTTTGAATCCTTATCTTGTCCTCTGAAGAATTGTTTCCAACCCTTACCCTGCTTTATCACAGAGGCTCAGTGCAGGGTACAGGATCAACATATTTATTTGCTTACCCTACAGTTTGTTATCTGCAGGAGAACGACTTCATTTTTTTTTTTCTTTTGGGGAAGGGGGAGGGGCCTGGGTCGGCAATGCTGAAGTTCAATAGTTCTTGATTTTTGTCTTCTGATGAGGCAGTCTATTATCTGCCTTCCCCTGAGCACAAACAAGTACAAGTATAATTGTTGTGACAAGACCACATTATGTTGCATCCTCTGTCTATATGACTCTAGTTACTTGGGCATTTGATTTTTGTTTGGATTCTGGGAAAATGTCTTAGTTGTTCAAAAACACCAAGAAACTGGCTTGTTTATCAGGATCATCAAACCCTTGCAGAAAAGATACCACAAATCTCATCAGATTCATCCAGCCGTTGTCTTTGCTGTTTTGAAGCTTGTTGCATTAATTTTTGTTGTTCCTCTTTCCTGACTGTCATGCTCCTGCAAATTTGATGAGCAGGGAAATAGTTTTAGCAGAAAGTCATAATTGCAAGGATTGTATCAGTAGTTGACTGTATTGTGAGCTTCTAAATGACTTGGATTTTCAGATTCTATAGTTAGTTCTGTTTCCAAAATTTTTTATACATATGGCTGAGTCTTGTGCCTAAGAATGGAGAACGACTAAGTTCTTCTTGTTTTTTGAAATAAAATTTGGATAGAATATGTGGTTTACCACTTGTTGGTTTGCCACATATTTGCAAATATAAATGTAAACTTAGTGAACCTTTAATTTTTGAATTACTGCAGTTCAATGGTTCCTGGATCAAGAAATCCTATGTGGGGAGAGGAGTTTAACTTTCCGGTTGATGAACTTCCTGCTGAGGTACTTGTTTTTATATCCTAACTTTCAAGGCTGTAGATGTTAAAAAATAGTCCTCATACTTAAGTTTTGGAAAAAATGTTTAGGTTATGAATCTTTTCTTTGTAATGTGTTACAAATTTCTGCCTCCAATAAATTAGTGTTTTTTGTTTCAAAACATCTTTTAGGGAGACTCCAAACAGGTTCTCTAACCACCTTTTTTCCAAACTCGTATGCCTCTTTTGGTGGAAATAGTCAGTGTTTATATTGTAGGAAGAAACTGCTCACCAGGGCCAAAACAGCAAATGGAGTTTTCAAGGTTTAAATTATGGGCTTGAACAGCAAGTTATCCATGAGAGCACTACTAATGAATTTATGTAGTAAACCTCTTAAAACTGAAATTCTCTAGTGGCATACTTTTTCTAAAGATACATCTATCTAATTGATTGAGTGTCCTGTCTCCATATGGTTCTTTTGCATTAATTCTTCTATCTAATTGTATGGGCAGATTAATGTGACAATATATGATTGGGATATAATTTGGAAAAGTGCAGTTCTTGGCTCTGTAACTATCCCTGTTGAAACTGAAGGTCAAACTGGTGCCTTGTGGTACTCACTGGATAGTACATCTGGGCAGGTAGCTGATTATCTGAATTATCTTCATATTTGGGAGTTTACTGTGTGCCTTTTTTGTCAGTTCAAGTAATTTGTACACATGAAACAAATATTCTTCTTTCTTGTCAGGTTTGTCTTCATATCAAAACAATTAGGCTTCATATCAATTCTCCCAGGTACTTTCTTCATATGCATGTGCATTCAATTATGAACGATTACAAATTCTTTGTTTTTGGTGACATTGAAGTATTTCTTTTGAGCATCATTTGGAGTATCCTATGAATGATGGAGGAAGGTGTCTTTCTGGAGGATTATGATTTGGATGCAAAATTTAATTAGAATGATTTAACTTTGAATAAGATACAACCACGTTACTTCTTGTCTTGCCAGTTGAGATGAATAGCAATACGTAAACTACAGATTACAGTAAGTTGTGGACGGTTGCAATAAGTTTCCTTGAACTAGAGCAGCTGATTTGCATGACTTGCAATAAATGATCTGAAATACAGCTGAGCTTGAAATGGCTCAACAAGTTTATTGGGAAATTGCTAGATTTTGATTAATAATGAGCTGTTGATTTAAAATATGCTAATAACAATCAATTCAACGACCTGATTTGCTTTTTAATGAATTGGGGCTGATTGAAATGAAGTTGCACAGGTTGGTAATGGCTGCAACAAGTTTATTTTAATGTGGCCCAATCAGGTATAATGTAAATGTCTATAAGGGTGGTCGATCAGTTTTAAGCAGAGCAAGTTGCCGATAATTGCTTCATGTTTTGTTTGTATCCATTAAAATCTTATGTCAGTAATGTGGGCTGTGAAGATTTCAGATAACATAATTCATGGTCATCTTGGTTAAACTGTAGCTAATTTGGTTGAATAGCACTAGTTGACATGGAGTACATTGCTAATCATTGCATTATGTAATCTGTGTAATGATTTTGGCTTATTGCAATGGTTTTTGAATGAGCCAATAATAAATTAATGGAAAAAGTTTGAGTTTTGGTTAAACCAAAATGGACGAATACCAACTGATTGAGATCAAATTGGTTTTATTGCGAATGAGCTCCAAGTTTAGTTGAAATCTTTCTACTATTCAGTTAGTATCTTGAATATTTATTAGTGTTGACCATCGTAACCAATTTGGATGTTGCTTTGTTGTCACCTATCTTTTTCTGATTAAACTCATCCAGAAAAATTTTGTTAATTTTAAAAAATTCTGTTAGGGAATTGAATGGCTTTGCTGGAGCAAATGCTAGGAGGAGGACGTTGGATAAACAGGGTCCAACAGTTGTTCATCAGAGACCAGGGCCACTGCAAACAATATTTGGTCTTCTTCCAGATGAGGTAAAGTCCTAATATATCATATGCTACATAAGTTATAATTGACTTAGCATCACTGCATGTTTAGCTTAGGCCTTTGTCAGAATAAATGTCTCTTTTCAAATTAAGTAGTCATTGACTCAATAATATGTTTCCAGGTTGTTGAGCACAGCTATTCATGTGCACTTGAGAGATCATTTCTGTATCATGGCAGAATGTATGTCTCCGCTTGGCACATCTGCTTCCATTCTAATGTATTCTCAAAGCAAATAAAGGTTGACTTCAGATCTGTAATTGCAAGGATTAAACAACGTTGTGTTTTCATTGGATTATTATGTTGGAATCTGTTGTTGTTTTGTAGTTTCTTTCTAAATCTTCTCCATTTTTTTTGGTCGAGTTCATTATGTTTCTACTTCTGCTTATTTATTCCTGTATTTGGTATGTCCCTGGTGCTTCCACATTTGAAGCTTTATGGTGCATCGTTATAATGTATCTGAGCATTTCTTGGAAAACCACTTGGGTAAAGTAGTTAATTAGGAAGCTCATTGTTTCAATTAGGCATTATACCACAAGATTTTCTTTTGGTTAGAGATGTGTTATTCCCTCTTTCTTTTGTCATTTTAATTACGCAATTGTCAAGCATTAAATCTTTTGTGGATTTTTTTCAGTTAGGGCTCATCATTCGTATAAGAAGATTACTTGTTTATATTGAGCAGTACCGTGTTGATGCATCTTAATAAAAAGAACATAACATAAAATAATAATAATAATAATAATAAAGACTATAACATGTTCAGAAGGCATTCATAGTCCAAATTTCGTTTTCTAGAATTTTCAGGAACTTCTGCTCTTTACTTTCTGTTTAGAAGTTCTGAAAGTGTTTTGTGGCAGATGATTAGACTTGTAGAAGAAACTAATGGACATATTCTCAACTGCTTGAGTAATTCTTTTTACTGTAATAGAGATATACACCCAATCCAGTTGATGAACATCCAATGCCTGATAGCAACTTTATAAAAGTAGTAAAGTGCTCTTAGGTTTTAAAAGCACCTTGACTTCGAGAATCTCCCTTGTGAACTAATGATAATTTACTTTTCTTGCGTTGTAGTAATTGTTTATATAAGATCGACAATTTTGTGCAATTGCATTGTAATATTGATTTGCCTCACTTTGTTTTTGATTGTACACCGAGATGCCCATCAGTAAAATCTCAACAGAGAAAGCTGAGACTTGACTAATGAATAAAATTCTTGTTTTCTAGTCTGGTACTTTCCTATACATGCTTTTATCTCTCATGTGAAATTCATGCTTCACTAATGTGTCAGTCTTTTCAAGAGCTGTTGCTTGTAAAATGTTCCAATCATTGCAGTCATTGAGCATTTTTCATTACCAACTTCTTTTTATGCTGGTTGGCAGGTCATTATACCTTTTGGAGATATCGATGAGGTAGGCAACCCACTCATTCTTTGTTGTCAACTCATTCTTTCCTTAGTACTGGGGATTTTGAAAGGAAAATCTATGTACAGAATGTTCTGAATTCATTTTGCTGTTGTTTCAGATAAAGAGAAGCCAGCATGCTGTCATCAATCCAGCAATTACCATTGTTCTCCGCATGGGTGCTGGTGGGCATGGAGTGCCTCCTCTGGGAAGTCCTGATGGTTGGTACTTGTTAAGTACCTTTTGCTTGATTTATTACTTATAGTATATGGTTTCGAATTTGAACTAAATTTCAGCTAATCATTACAGGTCTAGATGTTATAAATTGCTAGCAAGGAAAGAAACTTAAGAGTGAGTGTAGTTATGGAACTCCAATGGACTGTCAAACTTAAGATGTTATAATTTTTTGTTTTCTAAATGGGGAATCCCCAAAATATTCTGTCATATACTTCTGCTGTACCTAGGTAGCTTAGTTTATCTTGATTTTTTTCTTTTCCTTCTTTGGCCGTGAATCTTCAAATCTTTTTGCTGTTCATTGTGTTTTATTCTATTCTGTTGATGGATATTTTTGCTTAGACAGAGATTAGTGGGGAAATCTGTGGGGTCATATTTGTGATTTTGTGACTTCTGTTAATTCTATATGCTTTGATGCCTGTATAAGAGCCAAACTGCTGTACTTTCTACAATTTCAGGTAGAGTTAGGTATAAGTTTGCATCATTTTGGAACAGAAACCATGCTTTGAGAGGTTTACAGCGTTCAGCAAAGAACTATCATACAATGCTTGAATCTGAGAAGAAGGTCAGAGTGCTAGCTTTTCTTTCTTCATTTGTTTGTGAATTAATCTCTTACATCATCTACTTCAGTGGGATTCATTTTGCTTGTATGTGGATTGCTTAGACAGCCTTGCTTCATAGATCGTCAAAATAATGAAGGACTTTTCATGTAAGATGAATGTAAAATGTCGGAAAACAATCTCCTTTTCTGTTGTAAACCGTCTTACTATGTGTTTAGACCTTAAATTTTAATTTTTCTCAATACAGGGAAAATCTGGGGCTACGCTGATAATTTTAACTTTAACTACGCAAGGGTGCGTTAGCATTTTGCACTTAAGATATCCTATTAAGGAGAGCGAAACTGTTTTTGTGGTATTCTATGAAGGAAAGTAAGATCAGTCCGGAATATGGAAAGGTTGACGTTCAAGTTTGGTACAGAGGTGTGAGTTAGTTCCTAAAAGCCCCCATTTAATGGGCAGTTAAATTTAGTAATTCATAGGGAATGTTGGACTTCATCTACTGGGTGTTTGACCCAAAAATTTAAAATTCTTTCTGTGGAGAATAAAAAGGCCAACTCCCATAGAAATACTTTCAGGGAGTTGCCTGGTCTGACATGGAGCCCACTTGCCTTCCAGATATTTGCCTCACAGCTCTCTCTTTTTTATTATATATATATATGCTGTCTCTGGTGTTTTTGTTTTCTGCGAGTGTAACAAATTGCTGCTTTGTCTAAATTTTATTCTTTGAAAAACCTTAATTTATCTTTGTAATCCTGAGTATTTGTCTAAGTTCTTGCTTTACTAAACTGGAAAAAAAAAAAAGAAAAACTTATTTAGATATTTCCTGCCAACAAGAGAAATGAAAGATGTCTTATGAACCCCTTGACCTGTAAAAATATTTCAAGACAATGATAGCCTAAGTGAATGTGTTTGTTGGGGACAATTTGCCCTAGTTTTAATCTCTAATGAAACCTCAGTACCAAATTGAAGAATGACAAGCTATCAGATACTTCTAGTTCAGTCTGCAGCTGCATTTTGTTCTCTATGATGATGCTGGGTAATTTTCTGCCTCAATGTTATCATAATTGATGCATGTAGCGCCATATCTTACTCCTGGAGTTGTATAGAGAATTTTGTTAATATTGAAATTTTTTTTTTGAGCTCATTTGTTTTCAAGAAGACGTCTCTTAGCACCCTCTTTCTCAAGGGGTGTTTAATAAATAAAAGACATCGAATAAAATGAAATCATAATCTTTTGGAAACATTACTGCTTCATTATCTTTTCCTTTCTGGTGTATAGGAGAAGGAACAATCAGCACTACGTGCCCATAGTAGTTCCGTAAGAGGTAGCGAGCGTCAAGATAAGGTTCCAAAGGAAAGTGTTGCAAAGTTTCAACCATTTATCAGGGAGGATGTACTTTCTAGTATCTACAGTGTATGTATCTAATTTAAGCTTTTCTTGCATTTGGAATTAAAAATTCTTGTATCATATATGATCAATAAAATTTTAACAAAGATCCTCTCAGGATACTTTCCCATGCACGGCAGAGCAATTCTTTGAATTACTACTGAATGATGGGTCAACCTTCACAAATGAGTATCGAGCAGTACGAAAAGATACCAATCTTTCGGTGGGTAACCTTCTTCATTGTTCCTTAACAAGCTTCATTGTTATACTGCTAAATCAGCATGTTTGCTGAGTGGTATTAGCTGTGCCGCCTATAGACTTCCTATTTTAAGCTTGATTAGTTTTAGCTTTTCTTAGCGAGGATGACGCTAAATATCATTATGCAATTTGACTGGATCAAACCGTAGAAATTAGCCAACTTGCTGAGAGGCCTTGGTCAAATGGCTAAGGTAAGGTTGATGGCCCACGGATTCGAGGTCTTGGGTTCAAAACCCCTCCTCCCCAACCTTTCCTCCTCCTCCCGCTTCTAAAATCCACCCCCTGCTAAAAAGAAAAGGACAATGAATAAATTTAAAAAAAAAAAAAAAACTTTAATGGATCAAACAGTCTAGTCATTTGGACTTTTGATGATGGTCTTTGACACTTTTTTTTTTCCGTGTGTCTGTGAGACTGCCAAACATTTACCTCTTCGTAGAATCCACATGCCTTTATGACATATCGTGCATATATTCAGGACCTTACAGTATAAATTCTATCTTTTTGATTTATCTGTTGGCCCATGTAAGTTTATTCTCTCTCACTTGATCTATTTTTGTTCTCTCTCACATTAACGAGCTTATACTCATTCATATTCTTTTTGAACTGTTTCACCTTTGACTTTCTCTTGAACTTTCTGTTCCTATCTACTGTTGATTTTCTCTTGTTCATTCAGTTTTTATTTGTTTTTTTTCTTTTTTTCCTTTTCTTTAAATTTTGGAAGTTGGAAATCTACATTTGTCCCATTGAAAGTTACAATTAGAATATTTGTATTTTCTTTAGCATGAGATTAACTTATTTTGTGGTACAACCAAAATCTTTACCAGAAACTTTTTATGGTTTACATTCATAGATGGAATAGTGGTTTAAATTTTGCTTTCTACACTAATATGGTAATTGCTGTAACTACTTATGTAAATATCCACATCTTTCTGATAATGTCCACAGTTCTACAGTGTTATTTTGATGTTATGAGTTGATGAGTTGATTGTGTCTGGCCGAATGGTTAGACCAGTGACCAATGACCTAGCCAGTTTTTCTAGTTTGTTGAACAAATGCTTTTGAAACATAGCTATAGCTGGATTAGATTTTAGTGGGCTTTATTTTTGTTTATTGTAAAGATGCATAGTAATGTGATTTCAAGCTGAAGTGGAAGGTAAGGCCTTGTAAATTAATTATTATTTTAGACCTGTACTGTACTGTGAGGTGTTTGTCCAGCCTAGTTGGCTTTACTATTTGCCTCCTTTTTGATAAAATCTGCATAACATCACTAACAGTTGAAGAAGAACAATGAGAAAAACTGAATAGAAGGTGATAATTCTGTGATCACAAGTATATGCACAATCTTCCATATTTACACAAGCCAAGGAAGCTTTGCCAATACTTATGGCGTCATAGATTTGCTTCATGTTAATCTGCTGGCTTAGTTGCTATATGTTGTCAGTTTGCTTTCTCAATAAGGTTAGGCTTAGTGTTCTTGTTTCTCTGGTGCTAAACGGCTGGCAACACACTCTAGTTGACTAAAGCAACTAGGAACCAGGCTAACAGCTGGCCCTGTATTGTGCCATCAGGGATTACTAAGCGTTCCTCACTAATTTGTCAGGCATCCTTGCACATAGAAATCAAAAAGGGAGAACGACAACTGACTTGATGACCAAACAACATGCAATATCACGCTTTATGCAGTTTTCTGTTGTCATGAATAACTCCAATAGATGTTTCAGTTTTGTCAATTTGTGATATATAGCTGGCAAAGCTTGGAGCTATGTTTTTAACAGATTTAGCGTATTATGTAGTCTGATGGAAGATAAAGATTTGCCATGGTGATCCATTGTAGACATTTAGAATTTGGTTTGCTGTTGTGGAAAATTTTGAAATTGGTTTCTGCTGTCTTTAGATGGGTCCATGGCATGCTGCAGATGAGTATGATGGTCAAGTCAGGGAAATTACACTCAGATCACTATGCAACAGCCCAATGTGCCCTCCAGATACAGCAATGACAGAATGGCAACATGCGGTTTTATCAGCAGATAAAAAGATGCTGGTCTGTTTTCTTATGTTACGTATTTCCGTTACTGTAGTTATGTGTCTTTTTTTCTTTCCTTTTTCCTCCTGTGGTGTTGATGTTTTTCATTTCCTTTTTGTTCTTTTTAGGTCTTTGAGACTGTACAACAGGCACATGACGTTCCTTTTGGATCTTATTTCGAGGTATGCCAGTTTTTTGGTCATCGTTTATACCGTGTTAGATTCTAATTACCTCTTTTTCCTAAATATTTAATTGTCTTGGACTGAGTTATCTACTGATAATATTGATATATTCATATTGTCTGCTAGTCATCTAGTAACCAATTGTGTGTACTGCTTGAAGTTTTGGTTTTTTCTCATCATATTTGTTAGCATTTAGTGATCTTTTTCTAAATTACCTTCAAATTTTCCTTTTAGCGCATGTGCGGGGGGTGGGGAGGGGCGAAGTGGGGTGGAGTTGGGGAATAAAGAGTCACGTGAAACTGGTTATGCCTCTTTTGAACTCCTCTTTTTTTTTTTTTTATAATTTGCTCAGAATTATTGTCCATTTGTGTAGTCCCTACCTCTGGCGATATATTGGGTTCATCAGTGTTGTGATCTTTCTTTGTTCTGTTGTTTGTAAACTTCATTTTCTTTTATCCCTACAAAGAGTTCTAATCTCATTTCATATGTTACATGAGGTTCACTGTCATATGTTTTTGTAATGTGTTTTAAGATTTGGATTAACTATTCTGTTTAATGGTATATTGCATTTAAAAGATTGAGTTGCTTGTCAGTTGGACTCGTAGTACTAAAATGTTTTTAAGTTCAGATTTTCCTGCTGCGTTGATGTTCTCTCTTATGTCCTTTTGTATGATTTAAATCCAGTTTTCGAGAGCCAAATTTGGTGATGTTTGATATTAGTTGATAACCTGTTATACTTAACTGGTACTAACAGCGACTGTGTCATGTTTGAGAATGAGTTTCTCGAAATAAAGAATGTACAGCAATCTTTGCTGACACTGATATATAAACTTTTGCTACGCTGGAAATACAAGTATAAAAATAATAAAGTAAAAGTACTTGGCTTTCAAAATGAGACTTAGAAGAGAGTTAGGATTATGGAGAATTTGCCATGCTTGATTAGCTAGCATTGCATAATTGAAGGCTTTCATATTCCTAAAACCAAGACCACCACCGTCCTTTGATCGACATAACTTATCCCAACAAAAACATGTGCGTATCATATGCCAAATTCAGCTCCAAATTGGGCTGTGCTGCCCAATTGTACTTTTTTTTTTTTTTTTTTGTCGACACTGGGGTGTCCGGGTCAAGACCCGAAGGCGGCCCGATTAATCCCCAGCGGCCCGGGAGGAGAGGCCCCATCCCCCCAAGCACGGTAACCCTGCACGACTCGAACCCCTGGCAAGCGCTCCTAAGGAGGCGTGCGCTGCCAGATGAGCTGCCCAGGAGGGGCTGCTGCCCAATTGTACTTGATTGAGAAAAATTATAATAATACAGAGGTGGATTGATTCAATTAAACATTCAAGGGGTAATGTAACAAAGAAGCCTTCTTTGAGGGGGTTTATTGGAATTGACCATTAATAAAATAACCATATAACAACTTAATATGAATATTTGATTATTATCAGTACCCTAGGGTCCCTAAGCTTTGGGGAAAAAAATTCGAGTTTTTAAACTTAATTAAATTATAGAAGTATACAAAAGAAAAAAATTAGTTCCTAAAACTTAAAAAAATGAATTTTGTACAAACCAAATTCCACCATTTGGGGTCAAAGGAGTAGTGAAAACTCAAAAGTAATACCTGAGAGGCAAATATTTATGTATATGTATTTTGTTTAAATTCAGCGTGGTCCCCAAAAGGGTAAAATATATCGAGCAAATGCCCTTCATTGACCGACTTTGTTCTTCTATTTTCTTTCCCTTCCAGGCAAGGACTGTATGAGTGTGTGTTTTTGCAAATTCACCACAATGGGCAGGTTGCTGATCTACGCCGTGATGTTGCTAGCATTGCTTTGGGCGGTTTCGGTGAGAGGAGAAGAAGAGCAGCAACTTAGCACCAAAGAGTGTGAGAGTCTGGGATTCAATGGTCTGGCTCTCTGCTCAGACTGTAACACCTTTGCTGAGTATGTCAAGGACCAAGGTTGTACCTTTATTATATGAATTTTGTTGATCCTTAGATATTTATGGCTTTTGGTGGATTTTATTTCTGGGTTTTGATGGGTTTTTTGAATTGATTACTCACATGGGTTGTAAGATGGTAATATTTGGGATTCTTGTTTCTTTACTATAGCTGATTGGTTGTCGAAATTAAAGAATAGTGGGAAAAAGATGCGATTCTTGTCGGTTTTAGTTGATTTAAGGTCTGGGTTTTTTGATGGATTTCTGAATTGCTTATTTATGTGTGAGATGTCAATCGTGATAATTTGAAACGAGAAGTTGAAAAAGGCTATGTTTTTATACCAATCAGATTGAGCTATTATGCTTATAACAGTCAGTAAGTGTATTTTGATTTTTATTGTTTTCGCTGTAGTTTTTTGTGATTAAGTTTGATCAAAGATGGATGGGTAAATAGTAGTCTATTTCGGAATATTTCTCTTTTTTGTTTTTGTGCCTCAGATAGCTTAAGCACAATCACAGAAATCAAAATAAGATCTTTATTGGGATTCTTAAATTATCTCATGCAATTAGTGGCCTTAAATTGTAATCTGTAGAATTCTAAGTAACTAGCCTGGATTATGGTAATGGTTCTGTTTTCTTGCTCTTGAGGATGTGTTGCACCTGTGCTGACGATGATCAAGCCATGCAAGAACAAGAGTTCAACGATCACGACTTCCTAAGTTACGACTTGTAGTTCCTTATATTTGATGATTAGGACCATACCTATTGATCTCTTTTAGAGATCTTGAGATTGTAGTGAGCTAGTGTTCTGTCTGTCTGTCTGGCTGTCTGTATATGTATTTGTAAGGAGTTTGCACGCTCATCAGTGTGATGAACTCTAATTCAAAGTCTATGGGACTTGTCAAATAAGAACATATTGAACTTGAAGCTTCCTCATCCGAAGATTGCTCTTTTGGAGAAAGGATGCAGGACTACCATGATTCACTTGCAACTAGAGGAGTATCCATGGTTTGCGTATACTCTTTTATTACCCATGGATATGCCCTAGAGGGTAGCCATTGCTGAGATGAACAAGGGTGGAACTGGGAAGGCTTCTATTTAGTTCTTTGTTTGGTGTGGATCCTCTAAGTTCTACTATTGGACCTAGAATAGTTATGCTACTGCACCCTTGGGCTCTTGATGCTTTATCAATTGTGAGTGACTAACCTAGAAAGGTTTGGAGTCTCACTTTAATCATAAGAAAGTTTGAGGCTTATATTTAATGACGAATTTATCCTTGTTGATAGTAGTAGAGATTTACAATTGTCTTGGTAAATGAGTATGGTTTAAGGGGCTATTGCAACTGTTGTCATGGTGACACTTGTATTGAGGTGGCTTATATGTCCATGTATTTTTCCTTTACATATTTTTTGTATTGAGGTGGCTTGTGTGTCCATGCATTTGTCCCTTACATGTTTTCAATTGGATAGTTGGTGTGGCTTAGTATATTGCATTGTTAAAAGAAGTATCAATGAAAAGCAACAGAGAAAATAATAAATTAGCATAGAATGTTAGGTTTTAGTACAATTTATTGACTTAACTTTGCATTGAAGGTTGAGGGGCTATTGCAACTGTTGTCATGGTGACACTTGTATTGAGGTGGCTTATATGTCCATGTATTTTTCCTTTACATGTTTTTTGTATTGAGGTGGCTTGTGTGTCCATGCATTTGTCCTTTACATGTTTTCAATTGGATAGTTGGTGTGGCTTAGTATATTGCATTGTTAAAAGAAGTATCAATGAAAAGCAACAGAGAAAATAATAAATTAGCATAGAATGTTAGGTTTTAGTACAATTTATTGACTTAACTTTGCATTGAGGGTTATCCTTTCTGTGTTTTGGTTACTCAGGATGAGATCTGCATATCCTTGTCATCTTGCTTTTGCTCCTTTTCTCTTTGCTTTCTCATATGCTTAGCTGCATAGAATTGGTTGACGTATTTGTTTTCTAGAGATGCTCGGTTTTGGAGAATTAAATACTGCACAAGTGTAGTGCCTCATAGAAACTTTTATACTTTAGGTCTGCTATTTAGGAGAATTATATTTGGACATGGAAAGGTGAAATGAGGCTAGGAAACATGGTGATTAGAGTGTTGTTGGATGGAGGATCTCCGAACCATTTATGGCTGAATGATGTGACAATTTTGGCAATATTGTTTTATGGAACTCAGTATGATTACTAAGTGAAAAAACTATTAGCTTGTTTCGGTGTTTCCTAGCACCATAGCCTGTTCACAGTATTCTATTTTGGCTCTCAAAAGTCCAATTTAGCATCAGTTGGACATTTTAACTATCGATTTGTTTAGTCTCAATGATGATTTTACAGTTGAATTCTAGAGGCTAGAATAATACCTTGGTTAATACTTATTCACTGTTCCTTTTCTTAATTCTTCGGTTTCACAATAGAGAAGTATGGGTGAAAAGGAGTAAACATCTTCTCATGGTTGCCGACCACTGACTATGGGATCAAGTATAGAGCTTATTACAGACGTGAATGTCCAACTATTGATGACTTGGATGTGAAGGATTGAACTGTAATTGTGATGGCTATCTTAAAGGTTCTTGTGATAGTATGCATCAGTTCATTGTACTGCTTGCCAGATTACTAGATGCACTTTCCTTTATTTCTTCCATTTTTCACCAGGCGAACATCTAATGCAAATTGCCATGCTTGCTTTACAATAACTTTGTATCCGCAAAACCAGGAACCTTCTACTACTTAATAAAAAAATAGGTTGTTGGACACACTTATCCAAATCAATTTGTTATGATAGTGGATGATTATGACATTTTAATGCCAATGTGATTAGTAGATGATATTCAGTATGCATTATGGACCGAGATAGGGAAGTTATTTGCATCATCCTTCTGTTCTTTTATCCAAGAAATTCTTATATTATGTATGTTTTCTCCAGTAGAATACATTGAACTCATCATCTTTTTTAACTATTAATTTCAGAATTGGTGTCTGATTGTCGAAGGTGTTGCACGGAAGATTCTGATGATGGTATGAGTAAGGTAATTTTGGACTGGTTTGGCATATTATCTGTTCAGATTTGCTGTGTTAAA